AAACTAATAGAAGATCTAGTAATGCCCCCAAACCCCTAAAGTTGCTGCTTAAGTCACAGCATGTTAATAAAACAGCCTCATTAACAAGAACCATAATTCCTTCCTGGCATTCTTCCTTCTTTTTCCAGGAAAGATGGAAGTCCCGTGTAGGGCGAGGGAACTTCTCCACTCTGCTTTTTTGAATATAATGACGTTTGTCCCGAAAGCTCTCCTCTCAGTCCTAACTCCTGGTCTCTCCATGGTCAAGGGAACTCAGGAGCACCTGTGGGCGCGTGCACGCACATGTGTGCACACGTGTATACACACACGCCCCTCCTCCCGAAAGGGAAATATAACTTTCTTCTTTCTTTTTTTTTTTAAGATTTTATTTATTTATTCATGGGAGACAGAGAGAGAGGGGCAGAGACACAGGCAGAGAGAGAAGCAGGCTCCCTGCAGGGTATCCGATGTGGGACTCGATCCCAGGACCCCAGGATCACGCCCTGGGCCGGAGGCAGACGCTCAACCTCAGAGCCCCCAGGGGTCCCAGGAAACATAACTTTCAGCCAGTGCAAAGCTAACTACAAACTTCACAGTCAAAAGAGCATCTTACTGTCTCTTGATCACCATCTTGCCAGCCTTGCCTTCCCACATCCCGGCCTGTAGGACACTCGCATTCACCACATACCCGTCCTGATGTCTGACTACACGGAGACCTCAAGCGTTACTGCTAGTGGGAACTCTGGAAGCTGGCCAAACCCTCGTTTTGGAGAGAGAGAGAGAAACTGAGGCTCCCCAAAGGTGACAAAGGCAACACAAGTTAGTAGTGAAAATAGGAACAGAACTAGTCTCCAGGATCCCACCCGAGCCCACCTTCTCTTACAACTAATAGTCGAGTCTCTAAATTCACGTCACTGAGTAGGCCTCTGGCCACGAAAAGGAAGTTGGTGAAAAGTAACCCATTAAATTAATTCACTAAATTAATTAGTTGCATTAGAGGGTTGCTTGAGGCAGAGTGAAAGTACATATAAGCACTTTTTGAGAAGACATATTACGCACTTAATAAGAGAACTGTCACCTTATCCCTAGGTAGAAAGAGAGACTCCTAATAGAGTCCAAAACCTTTCTACTGTAGATTTGTGATGGTCATTCAGAAACATTCAATATAACATCATAGCAACAGAAATAAATTTCAATATAAGCTGGGATGATACCATAATAACTTAAAGGAAAGCAATTAATAATTCTTTCCAACATCACAAGTATAATAGTGCATGAAAACAAATATTAAGTCACCTATCAATTTATTCTCTTAAGGAACTCAAATGTGTGGAAAACCTTATGTGCAAAAAAAAAAAAAATAAAAAATAAAAAAAATAATATATATATATATATATATAAATTGCAGATACACTGATTATTGGTTTAAGAATCTGTCTCAGGGGCGCCCGGGTGGCTCAGCAGTTGAGCATCTGCCTTGGGCCCAGGCCGTGACCCCGGGGTCCCAGGATCGAGTCCTGTATCGGGCTCCCTGCATGGAGCCTGCTTCTCCCTCTGCCTGGGTCTCTCATGAATAAATACATAAGGATCTGTCTCAGGTCGGAAAAAAAAAAAAAATGCCACAATTCACTAAAACCAAGAGAAACAGCAGACAGTGAAGACAATTTTCAAATAAGAATATTTCATGCAAAAAAAAAAAAAAAAGAATATTTCATGCAAAAAAAAAAAAAATTCATGCAAGTACAGTCTATTAAAACATGTTAGAGGCCCCTGACTGGCTCAGTTGGTAGAGCATGTGACTCTCGATCTCAAGGTTATAAATTTGAGCCGCACATTGGGTGTAGAGGTTGCTTTGAAATAAAATCTTAAAAACAAACAAACAAGATTCATACTACACAAATACCAAGTGAAAAATGCCAAGCACAAAAAAAAAAAAAAAAACCTCAGCAATGGGCTTCTTCGGCAAAAACACAATCCCTTTTGGATGAACAGATTCCCTAAAAATCTGGGCAAAGGACGGAGGAGTGGGAAACGAAAAACACAGCTTTTTGTAATTCCTATCAGGGTTCCTCTCATCACTGAACACAGAATTATGTCGATTTAACCAGGTCATTTTTGTCAGCCAATTTAGATAATTTCCTAACTTTCCCAGCTCTTTCATTCCTACCATTAGGATTGTTGCAAAGATGAAAGAGAAGATAAAACACTGAACAAAAACAGACTCTTAGCAGTGTTTTCCTTTAGGTTGTGGGATTGTGGGTAATGAGAACATATCACCCTCCATACTCAGAAAATGAGGCTATAAGTATGCTTTGGGAACTGTGAAACAACATACAAGGGCTACTTTTATTTATTTATTTATTTTTTACTTTTATTGGCCCATTGTAGCCCAAATAGTCCTCTTTTTAGCGTAGCTCTTTTCTCCTGGAGCTACTGATTACAACTGTATGTAAAGGGCAGCCCGGGTGGCTCAGCTGTTTAGTGCTACCTTCAGCCCAGGGCGTGATCCTGGAGACCCGGGATCAAGTCCCGCGTCGGGCTCCCTGCATGGAGCCTGCTTCTCTCTGTCTGTCTCTCTCTCTGTGTGTCTCTCATGAATAAATAAATAAAATCTTTGAAAAAAAAAAAAAAACTACATGTAAAGAGTGACCAGCACCATTTACACAGCAAAGTCTACGTAGTCTAAGCCTATTATCTTGTGGAGGAAGTGGGGTGGTTTTTTTTTTTTTTCCTGTTTATAATGGAAGAGATTTTCTTTGTTTTGATTGATTTGGTTATATGAGAAAAGTTATCAACATAGACAAGGAGAAGCCAAGCCAGTGGACAAAACGCCTCCAAATGCTCATCCCATATTCCAGAAGCCCCCTTCCGGAAGATATCCGACATCTCTGACTCAACGTGGTGTCCTGCCCTCACTCTCCTCTCAGGCATGTTCTGAAATCCTCTACAAAGATGTTATCACTAGAGCTCCCCTGGCCTCCCAAGTCTCCCTTAAGTCAAACAGGTTCCTGTCTTGATATTCCTGTTTGCAGAGGTAAGTAAAGAGGAAGAGGAGAGGCCTCACTCTTTCCAGAATTACACATCCTTAGGCGTAGAAATCCAGAATACTACCTGAGCTCCTTAAAGCTTTTGCTTTCTTGTAAATGAATAACATCACGATTCTAATGGGCTTTAGTGCTTTTAACCTTGGGAAGATCTGGTATCTCTCATTCCTTCCAGAAGAGTCCTAAAACTGCAAGCAACCAAACCATATTTTAGGTGTTGTACTGCCCCCTTGTGTATTCTCGTGTTCAGCGAAAAGGCAGCTCACAGAACACGGTGATCTTAACTCTCAGAAGTGCTTCAGTAGGATCTCAGGTATTAGGACTAGAGACAACCTCGAAATCATCAAGACCGGCACGTGAACGGAGCTCTTGAACGATGGTATTGGGGACGCCCGGGTGGCTCAGCAGTTGGGTGCCTGCCTTCGGCTCAGGGCGTGACCCCGGGGTCCTGGGATCGAGTCCTGCATCGGGCTCCCTGCATGGAGCCTGCTTCTCCCTCTGCCTGTGTCTCTGCCTCTCTCTCTCTCATTCTCTGTCTCTCAGGAATAAATAAAATAAATAAATAAATAAAATCTTCAAAAAAAAAACATTTTTTTTTAAACTTAAAAAAGGATGGTATCAGTTGCTCCAGACCACAGCCTGGCTAGTTAGTAGCGGAGCAAATACTGCTGGACAGGACTTCAGCCTGTGACAGAACTCTTGGCCTCCGTTTCTCTCTTGCAATGGGGCTGAGCAGACTGGGAGGAGAAACCAGGGGTTTTGGGGTTCGAAAAGATCAGAGTTTGAAATTTAGCTCCCGCTTCACGACGTCGCCGAGCCTCCGCTTCCTCTGCACGAAACAGGATAAATAATGACCATCGTGATGGTGTCAGAGAACGCAGGCCGCCGGGTTCGTCAAGGCCGCGGCCCCAGATGGCAACCTGCTAAGCGACAACACGACTGTAAAAAATGCGTAGAAAACGGTCTTTAGGTCGTCGTAGCTTTTGAGACCTCCGGGCGAGGCTGTGGAGGCCTTTGAATCTGCACTTTGTCTCGTCGGGCACAAGGCAAGACTTGAAAAAAATAAAGCTAGTTTGGGTTTCCTCACCCATCATACCTATTCCTTCTTATTACAAATACAGAGCGGAAGCGAGGAGACCCCACGGCACCTGCGTGACAGGTGCGGCAGCGAGCAGGAGCCGCGCGTGGGGTTCCCAGGAGCCCGGCGTCAGCTCAGGGCCACCCTGAGGGCCACAGCCCCGCCGCCCTTGGCCGAGGAGACGCCGGGCCTGGGCCCTGACCTGGGTCCACGCGGGCGGGTCACCTGGCCCCGCTCCCGTCCTGGGGAGGGACCTGGAGGTGAGGGGCCCCTCACCTGGTGAAGCCCGAGGGCCGGGGAGCCGCACGCAGAGAACGAACACAAACACACGTCGTGACCTCGGAGGTCCTTCCATAAGGCAGGTAAGGCCACGCTCTCTTAACCGTAACGTAAAGCGGTAGTAAAGCGCGAGACTGTCACCACTGTCACCGACTGGGGAGGCAACAGTAACCGGGGGAGGGTCAGAGGCCCGGCTGGCAGGATGGGGACCGGCCCACCGAGCCCGGGGCTCCCCCTGGGCCCCACGCAGCCCGCGGCCCCTGATGGAGAGGGCCCCCGACACCCCGGGCCCCCGCACAGCCCGGGCTCCTAAATGCCACTCGGGGCACAGCAGGACGGCCGAGGCCCCCGCCCTGGCCCGGCCACTAGGCCAGCACGTGGCGGCGGGGACGGTGGCCGTCCCGAGTGGGCCCGGGGACACCGAGCTGAGCCCGCGTGAGGCCCTGGAGGGGGCAGCCGCTTACGGCCGCGGGGTCCCGGGCAGCTTGGCCACCAGCGAGGTCCCTGAAGCCCGGGGTCCCACCGACGGCCCCGCCGCCTGCGCCCGAAGCGCTGGCCACACAGCGCCTTGGGAGGCGGGACAGGACCCCCAGGTCCCCAAAGCACAAGAGGCCGCTCACCGTGAAACACGCTGTTGTCCACCAGGAAATGCCGCCGGTACTGCACGCGGCTCCTTCCCTCCGCGTTCCAGTAGCTCATGGTCGGGGGGCCTCCGGCACAGCATCAACGCCGAGCTCTGTCGGGGAAACGATGCGACAAACATGAAGACGGTGGCAGCCGCACGCTCGGGCCCAGGTGGCGCGGGGCCGTGGTCTCCCAGCGCTCCGGGGCACACGGGCCGCTCGCGACCTGTCCACACGCGGCCCTCAATCCCCGGGGCCTCAGGAGTCTCCCACAAGCCTCCCCGGGGGGCAGGAGGTCACTTCAGACGCCAAAACCGTCGCTTTGGCCAACGAACGGCACCCTTCGGGCCTCAGGGACTGCTGTCCCGGGGCCTCCCGGCGGGGAGTACATTTCAGGCCTGGTCTACACGCTCCAGGCCTCACCCCCGGGCGGCCAGGACCCAAACCGGCCAAGGCCCGAACGTCTCAGGAATCTGGAGCAGACCCTCATGCTCCGTTCCCGAGTTCTGTCCCCGCACCCCCCGGGAGCCTCAGAAACTGGGACGGCGTCCAGGGAGCCACGGCGAGGCCAGCCACAGTCCCGGAGCCTGCCTCCCTCTTCCCGCTGCACTGGCCGTTCAGGACCACGAAGGCCTAGGTGGGCCCACAGGGAACCCGCGGGGGTAAGTAGAACTGGTCACAGGTCTCGAGCAGGGTGAATAAGCGGCGGTGTCCAGCCCTGGCCACGGCTTGCCCCTCCCGGGGAACCGCAACGCTAGCCAGGGCAGGGGCTGGAAAGGCAGCGATCGGAGCTGATGGATGAGACGCCTCCAGAAGCTGGTGTGCGTGACCCTGAGCAAGGCCCCCATTGTTCACAGGATCTGGCTAAGGCAACTCTGCAGAATTCCAGCTTCTCTTCTGGTCACAGAGTAAGGCCGGGCAACCCCACGCAGGGCTGGCAGGGAGGAAGACCCACAGGTGGGGAACGAGTCGTTAGCTGTCCTATTGCAACAATCTAGAGTCTTGCAAAGATACTCCAGGATGAAGTCGGACACTTGGTGACAAAAACTACCGCTCGGAGCTTTGTCTGTTCATCAGTGGAACAACTGGTGAGGGCTCCTGAAGCTCTGGCCTGGGCTCCTCCTGGGCTCAAAGGCTCACGCTGAAGCCCCTCCGACGGCAATCCTACCGGACTCCAGCTACCCCACCTTTCTTCGGGCTCCATGCCTCACCTCCCGGGTCTTCCTGCCTCCTCCCCACCCGGCTAAGTCAGGCTGTCACTCCTACCCCCTCAGGCTAATGATGAGTCCCACTACTCTCAAGTTAAAATCACCCACGGGTCCAGCTCTAAGAGATGACAGCAGGCAACTGGTTACTGGAGACAATATCCCCTCCTACCCAGTGCTGAATATTACACACAGATCTTCCTTAAGAAAGTATTTTTAGTTATGTGAGTAAGGTAGTTGTATGCGCTCATTAATTTTTTTTAAAGTCATCACTGAAAGTCATCAAAAATCCTTAAACATTTAAACACCCCTCTTACAAATTAAATAAATAAATAAACACAATAATAATAACTATGTAAATAAATAAATAGATAGATAGATAAATAAATAAATAAATGAATGAATGAATGAATGAATGAATAAATAAATAAATAAGGATCCCTCTTCCCTCATTCATGTCCCTCTCGTGGAATGACCCCTTTGTTTGGTGGGTATCATTCCAGTTCTTTTTCTACGCATTTACATATATATGTAAGTAAATATGTATATAAAATACCTACACATACGTGCAATTTTAAAGATATCTATGTGTTTTTTTTTAAAATATCTATTCAAGAGAGTGTGCATGCACAAGCAGGAATAGGGACAGAGAATCTCAAGCAGACTCCCACTGAGCACAGAGCCTGACACGGGCCTCGATCCCACGCCCTGAGATCATGACCTGAGCCGCAATCAAGAGTCACATGCTCAGCTGACTGAGCCAGCCAGGCACCTCAAAGACATCTATATTTTTTTTTAATAGTACCTTTTTGCATAAATTGGAAATAATTTCAGTTTTATCGGTAGTACCTATTGCCTATAAAATTGTATTGATTTTTCATATTAGAAATATTTGGGGTTACACGGGATAAAAGAGAACCCTGTTTCTATTCACGCTCATTTTTCCTTGCTCACTTGATCTTACGGTTTACCTTTGTCGTTCTTTCTTTTGCCGCCTTGTTTCATTCTCAATCCAGGGAAGGTTAGTGGAATCAGAAGATGAAAGAATAATGTGCATTTGTGTATCGTGAGCAAAACATAAGAACATACCTGACTCTCACTTGGCTTCCTCTAAGGGTAGCAATGGGACTTGAAGTCACATCTTCGTATTTCAAACCCAAGATTCTAGCCATGACAGGCTAGAATGAATTAGGCTATTCCATACTATGGTGGGTTTGTTTTGGGGTTTTTTAAGATTTATTTATGTGAGAGACAGAGAGGGGAGAGAGAGTGACAGAGGGTGCATGCATGCAAGCAGAGGGGAAGGGCAGAGGGAGAGGAAGGGAGAAAAGCAGACTCCCCCACTGAGCACAGAGCCCACCTCGGGGCTCAATCCCATGACCCTGAAATCATGAGCTGAGCTGAAATCAGAGTCATGTGCTTAACGGACTGAGCCACCCAGATGCCCTAATATGGTGGGTTATAAATATGTCCTATAGGGCAGCCCTGGTGGCTTAGAGGTTTAGCCGTCTTCAGCCCAGGGCGTGATCCTGGGGACCCGGGATCAAGTCCCGCATCAGGCTCCCTGCATGGAGCCTGCTTCTCCCTCTGCCTGTGTCTCTGCCTCTCTCTCTCTCTCTCTGTGTCTCTCATGAATAAATAAATAAAATATTAAATAAATAATAAATAAATAAATAGATCCTATAAATCCTTGTACATTCCTCCCACCCTTCAAATGGTGGAATCTAAGGGGAATCTAATTCTCCTTCCTTTGAATATGGGCTGGACTCAGTGGCTCATTTCTAACAAAATCAGTCGTAATTGATGCAATGAGTCTTCCAAAACGAGATCATACAAAGGATACAGCTTCTGTCTGGCTCCCTATCTCTCTCAGGACACTCACTCTGATGTAAGGAAGCCCGGATACGAGTGTTCCAACTGATAGCACCAGCTAGGCCCTCAGCCAACACCCAACACCGACCAGAGACATGTGAGTGAATGAATCTATAGGCCATTCTATCCTATCTCCAGTCTTCACGTCTTCTAGATGAAGCTCTGGATACAGAGGGAAAGAGATAAGCCATCCTCTTTGTACTTCATCTATATTTCTGACACATAGAAACAATAAAAGACAATAACTATTGTTGCCTCAGACACGAAAATTTGGGCTAATCTGTTACAAAGCAATAGATAATGAACACAGGTGACATCCTTGGATACGTTCAGTGAGGACTGAGACCTTCGACTCTTTGAGGACAGAAATGCAGACTCACACAGATGTATGTAATACTGAGACACCTGAGCGCTGGTCCTCGATGGACCCACCTTTCCAACTTCCAGATCTTTTTGTTCACACTGTAATTGTTGACCTTTTCTTTTAAGAGCTGGTTAAAATACCACTGCCTTCCTGGGGTGCCTGGCCGGTTCAGTCAGTGAAGCATACAACTCTTGATCTCGGGGGCATGAGTTCAAGCCCCATGTTGGATGTAGAGATTACTTTAAAAAAAATCTTAAAAAAAAAAAAAATACTACCACCTTCCTGAAATTTCCCTAGGATCTCACCCTCCGATTTACCTAAAACCGTCTCATGTTCTGAACTACCATAATCCTACATACCAATTATTGATTATCTGCTCTGTATCAGGAACTGCGATAAGGCTTTAACATCATGGGTCTCAACCTTGACTACACGTTAAAGCCAATCGCTTAAAAAATAATAATAAATAAAAATAAAAATAAATAAATAAAACCAATCGCTTGGGAAGCCATAGAATCCTGGCTCCCAGGCCACACCCCAGACTACTCTTTATGTATATTGTCTCTACTCCTTGAAGAAACTCCTCTGGGTGGGTAGTTTTAGGAAAAGGAGGTTCAGAAAATGTAAACAGCTGAGCTAGAGCACAAAGGTATTAAGTAATTGAGCCCTATGGCTTCCAGGCTGTACGCCTCCCTACTTTGCTTCATTGCTTGCACGTCCTACCTCTCTCTCCTGGCATCTGCTTGCTGCTGGAGGGCAACAGAAGACTGTACACTGCTTCTGAGTGCCAGCCCTCGGCCCTGCACACACTGCAGGCCCTTAGAAAACGTCAGTGGAGCCTCCCTTATATGCCCCATTTACTGGATTCCTGTCCATTGGAAACCAAAGAGAGGGCTCTCTCTGACCTCCAGAATCAGAGCAAATGATTTCAAAATTCAGAGATGATGGAGGTGGCGAGTAATGGAATTAGTAGGGCTGGGGCAGGGAGAGAGTTGGGCGATAAACCCAATCTCGGTTTCCACCAGATTTAGGTGATCCCAAGGCCCAGTGCTCACTAAGGGGAAGTCACCGAAAGGAACCTCGGAAATCGCCTAAGCTAAACTTGTCCTGGTGAAGCCAGAAAAAAATCCGAGGCCCAAAAAGGATGCATACCTTGCAATGTATCCTTTACATAAAGCTGGTGGGAAACCCGGCGTCAGGAGTCTCAAGGCGGGGATCCCTTGAGTACTTCATGGTCCCATTTGTGTGAACACAATGCATGAAAATATCTACTAGAACATACTTTTCATTGATTTTTCAAAAAAATACCAATGTAGATTAGAGATGTGCTTCCATTGCACCATGTACTCAATTTGAAGTGGTGTGGCCAATATCCAAGTAAAAGCAGAGATGTTTAAAAATTGATTCAATATTTTTTTAAAGATTTTATTTATTCATTCATGAGAGACAGAGAGAGAGAAAGAGAGAGAAGCAGAGACCCAGGCAGAGCTCCATGCAGGGAGCCCGACATGCGACTCGATCCCAGGACCCCAGGATCACGCCCCGGGCCGAAGGCAGGCGCTAAACGCCCCCCACCCCCGAACCACACAAGGATCCCCTGATTCAATTTTCTTTTCAGACTTATAAAACGCTCACTGCCCTCCACCTCAGGTCTACGGAATATACGTGTTCT